CGATGCCAAAGCACAGTGAGCTCGCAGTCAATGTAGGGAGCAACCAGTAGTGAGAGGACGCAGACAAATAGCGCGTTCGGCTATAGTGAGGCGTACGGCTAGCGTGTGGTAGCTGCTGTAGATTCATTCATATCATACATGGTAAGAGACCAGGATCCAGGGTACAATTGTCTTTGAACATGGAGACGGTGGCGAAAGATTTGTATAAAAAGACAATCCAGGAAGAAATACGTGCTGTTGCCCCAATTACCTTTGCCACTCATTTGACCCTAGACCACGAAATCTCGTAAATAATGATGCTATATTTCAGAGCATAAAGCAGAAGCATATGAGCAGCAAATTAATAAGCAAGAATTAGAGGTTAGTTTGGAGCGATTATAATTCAAGCATGTAGCAGGAGGTTAGTGATTGTGGGCCGCGTTATAGTCTGAAACAGCAGTTCAGAAGGCTCCTCTTCACACTGAAGGGTAGCCTGTCGGGAGGCTGGGGAGAGGGTACATGCCAGGCGGAAGCACTGGCCTGCGCATCTTGAACTCAAAGAAAATCCCCGCATTTACATATTGTGGGTAGTAGCCTTCAATAAGAACCTACAGTCGCTGAGTGACTCTCCACGGAAAAAGCATTAGGAAAGTTATGGAAACACCGTGAGCACCCTTGGCAGGACTACTGTACAACTTCTGCGGACATGCTCGTTCTGGGCCAGCAAAGCGACATTCTGCCCCTTCGTTTCACTATTTCACGTCATCCAATGGTGAAATTTGCGCATTTAACGCCAAGCAAGAATCAACACAATCTAAACCCTGAAAGGGAAGCAAAACACGAAGCAAAAACTGAACTTGTGGCAGAAATTAGCCTTTGAGTATCGGTAGGCAGGACAACTAAAGAGGATGTCAGAACCGCCACTATTGAGGGGGGCGCCTTTGTTACTTACTGTGAAGCCGTGAGAAAGGGACAATCTTAGGCTATGTTCATACTTTGCGTTCACCTGCGTCCACCAGCCACCACTCAGCGTTTCGAGCGTTCGTCAGCGTCAGAAATAATAAAGATAGATATCGATCTAGCGAACGGCATCGTCTATCAGCGTCCACCAGCGACAATCGGCGTTTCGAGGGGCTAGGAAACTATGGATATCGATCCAGCGTCTATCAGCGACCACTATCATTCATCAGCGACCAGGTGTAGAGAGTATGGGGTAGGAAGGGTAGCAAGCTGCTGGTGGAGTATGGGGAAGCAAGAGGGAGGAGACAGCTAGGTTAAGCATCGTGAAATTGTGGCATGTGCAGCCGCACCGTATACTACTCAATACCGCCTAGACGCTAGTGGTCGCTGGTAAACGCTAGATCGATATCCCCTTCACTCCTTCGAGAAGTTGATGGTCGCTGGCGGATGCTGATAGACTCTGGTAGACGCTGCTGTTCGCTAGATCGATATCTATACTTTCCTAGTCGCTGACGCTGACGGACGCTTGAAACGCTGATGGTCGCTTGTGGACGCTGCTGCAAAGCATGAACCCAGCCTAGCCCAGTCCCCGCCAATTACGTTGACACATTCGAAGTATGTATGGCAATATTCTGCTTTTAGTGTGATGCTACGCAACCTTCGAATGAAGAACAACTTCAAGTGAACAAAAAACTATTAAAAACCCAAAGAATAGAAAGAATAGTGGAGGATCGTGATGCGAAACCTAAAGAAAGAACCATAGTCCAAGGAGTCTCAGCAAAACGCAAAGGAGCCAGAACGCCCGATGCAGAATTGAGGATGGCAACGAAAAAAGAAAGCGATGTGTCACGCGAAAAGTTCAGTGCTTTTCTGTTCAAGAAAAAAATGACGACAAAGGAGAAAAGTGCTGAATCAAAAGAGGAAAGAAGAAAAGTTTGTTCAATATTATCAAGAGGGATCAAGAAAGATAAGGGTCGTCCCGTAGGAAAAGCATCTGCGACCAAAGTGGCGGCAGCTAAGGCCATGGTAGCGTCACCCATTCCTGGTGATGTAGGTTCCTTAGTCGCTCCTTACATCGAACTTTTCGACCCTACGGTATCGCGCTTTCAGGATGATTACACCGATTTCGAACCAACAGATGCGGTATCTCGACCGGCTCGGGCAGAATAGCACGAATCATAGGCGAGTTTTTGAGGTGAGGGTGTGCTACCTACGGTAGCGTTCAAAATTAGCGACTCCCTTGCCCTTCCCTTCTCGCAACCGATTATAGGTCTCTCCTCGTCGAGGACTTTTCAACATGTCTCCTCTGGAGCCACGCTATCTTACCAATTATTCAAATTGTTATGAATTCATATTACCCAAAGATTACCATAAAATACTACGCTCGTTTCAGATTTCGATGATCTCCATTTAACCTGAACTTCAAACGAGTTTCTTTAAAAGTTACGATTCGGATGTCTTATACGAAATGTTAAAACTAAAGACTAACGCTGAATAAATATGATTTGAAGAATTTTCATATTCGCACAAGGCTGAAAGTTAGAACTGTCACTGAGGAACTGAATTATGAAAGCTCAAGGGCTAATGTGACATGAAGAGAAACAAGAGCTTGAAGGAGAGAACTCTCGCTGATGCTACTAATACACGAATTCAAACCTCTTCTATGAGACAGATTGGAAAGGACCAGGTAGGTACGAGAGGCGCGTTGCTGGAGAGATGTGACTGGAAAGAAAGTCCTGTCAGTGTTCTTTGGAAAGCTTACAGTTTTTGATGCTTGATGCTCGAACATCACTTAACATGCTAAGCTTGTAGAACATCTACAGCAAGAGGTGTGTGAGGGCGCCTGCTCTTCCCTGGGTTTAATTACGATGTCAGTTTCACAGGAGCATCTTCGGGTCATCATCTTCTATCAGTGGCCCCGCGGCACTGGAGCCACGGCAGCTGTCCGCAACATCAACAGTGCATTGGCGGAGGACACCACTACCATCAGGACCGTCCACCTTTGGTTCGCTCGCTTCGCGAAAGGAGACACGATCCTCGAAGACAAACCTTGGTTGGGACGGCCCACGGAGTGGAAGAATCCACCATTCTCGAAGTGGTGAAGAAGGATCCGGCGGCTACCACCAGCATTCTTGCGAGAAGACTCGGGTGTAGCTAACTGACAGCCGTCAACCTCCTGTACCGCCTGTAAGCCCTTGACTACCAAAGTACTGGCTCGATGGATCACTCATGCCTTGACCGATGGCACGCTGTGCACCCGGGTACCCTTGGTCAGTCTCCCCTTCTCCGCCCTCGTCAAAAGGAGTTTCTAGGAGACTGCTTAGTGGACATAAGAGATGGGGCCTTTCTGATTTTTGTCCACACCGTCCGTGTGTCTTTCTCAAGGAGAAGATCCATTCTGGCAGTCCAAACCGGGCATGATTCTGAGAAAGTTCTTCTGCACTGCTCTTGGGAGGAGAGGCTGCACAACAAGATGCCCATATGGGAACACACGGTCACCGCCACCATTTGTGTCGCTCAGCTCAGAAACCGGTGGAAACTGTTGGAGAAAAATGACCGAGACTAGCTTCGGGGCACCTCGTTCGTAGTACGCGAGACCCCATACCTGCTATGGAGACCTACCAAATAATTGAGGAGCAAGGCTGGGAGACCAGTTCCCGCAATATTCTCTTGAATAGGCCCCTACGACTGCTACCTGCTCCGCCTTGAGGCTTTCTTAGCTAAGAAAACTTTCAGCAACTTTGATGACATCAGTCGAGAGGCTGCCGACTTACTCTACTCGCAGCCTCCTCAGTTCTGGGAGAGGGGAATGCTTACCTGCCCATTAGGTGGAGCACTGTAGTGGCTAACTATGACGAGTATATTGTTGACTAATTCCCACTGTATGTTGAGTCAGAAAATAAAAAGAAAAAGTCACAACAGTGACAAGGCTTTTCTCATTCGTGATCGGCTATCCATTAATCTCGGCATGATGACAGCAATATTCACAGAACTTTATTCAGCAATCCGAGATTGTTATAAGTCCTTTACCAGACTGACGTTTCGGCAGTATTGCCTTCTTCGGAGCCTTTTGAGGAGAAGGCTCCGAAGAAGGCAATACTGCCGAAACGCCAGTCTGGTAAAGGACTTATAACAATCTCGGATTGCTGAATAAAGTTCTGTGAATATTTCCTCATTCCCGTAGGTACAGTCTATTTCGTGAGAAGAAAGAGAGGGGAGGATTCTACCAAAGACTGCATAATTCCCTGCCTTCGCTTGCTTCCTCTTTCACACGGCTACCTCCCTTTAGTTTGGCCTCGCAACCATCAGCGCTTTCGTTGCTACGCCCTTTGTTGCTTTAAGATGTGAATACGGGCCGTTTTTGGTATGAAGGCAAATGCTGCACCTTGACGATAGCGTAGACTGATGAGTATGGAGACCGCACCCCGGCATCACTTCTCTCCTAACCTTTACCTCTGCATCCTTGAACGAAGAATGCGCCACGCTACTACCAGCAGAACTATTCACTTGACACATTGTCAGGATCAGGATACAGGGAGGTGAGTGTGTGTCCTAAAAAGGGTCAAACAACCCTAGGTCTCAATAGCACCACAAAAACTTTCATGACATGCCCCGAGTTACCCCGCAATTCCGTTCACCAGCATACCTGAGTAGCTACCACGCTACATGCTCGCGACACTCATAGTGATTTGAACGGCACCGACTGCTTATCTCATAATGCACTAAGATTATCACGGCATTATCACGAAGACATCACGAAGCAGCTGGAAGGTTCATAGAAGGGTTTGCAACTTTTGTTGGAGATCGGTTCCTCTTTCCAATCTCCTTGTGGTTTCTGACATCGTCGGCAGCTTCCAACAAACTGAACTTCAGACTTATGGGACGACAAATTGAAAAGTAGAAGTGAAGTATGAAGGGATCAAACTCTCTCGCTGGTTTTCAATTTCAACTCCTGCCTGGGATGACGCACGCATTTTGCTTCTAATTAGAATTGTAGTGGCACATTGAAAGCGTATGGCCTTGGCAACGTCCGGCTGACGTGGGTGGTCTCATTCCATCCCCTTTGAAACGGCCCAGACTGATTGCGGTGATATCGGCTTTACAGTGTGAGACTGACCATAACTAATGTAAAAGGACGGCACAGCAAGTCTCACACACTTCACACCAACTCACCTGTCCCAGAGGGACAGAAAGCTTGGATGGCCAGGATGAGAGCTGATCCTAGGTTCAATACCGTATACCGCACGCACAGTAAGCGGGTCATCTGCCACTGCACTTCCTCCGAGTAATAGCGGAACGAAATTTATTCTCGCCCTTGAAGATGTCATAGCATCACTTCGGAATACATAAGACATCACAAACCGAGAGGGGAGCTACGGTCATGCGCTTTGGCTATCACCCTCTGTCGCACTGGTGCACGAGGTCCCAAATAGCGGCCTGAAGGAAAGAAAGTGGTCAGACCAGCTAAAGGAACGAAAAGGGGTCAAGCGGCCTTACTGTAGGATGAAAGTAACAAGGCGAGCCAGCCTGCGATGCTACGAAGATAGGCAGAGCCAGGGTAGGGCCTAGTGTTGGAGAACACTTTCAAAATAAGACCTTCCTCCCGGTCCCAAAATTCGTCCAGGTAGCATGGGAAGTCCTTTTTGTGATAGGAATAGCAAAGCCCCGGCACATGGAAACGACCTAATCTACGAACGATTTGAAATATCAAATGAGACAAAAGCTAAAGGAGATTACCATCAAAAGTCGCGTACCGGTTAGAAGACAAGGATGTACCTCTTACATAATCACTGTGATCGATATGTGGGTAATAGCGGTAGCGCAAGAAAACGCCTGGGAAGTACTGACCACATAAGCCGCTAAACCCCTCTGTAGTGCACAAGAATCACTACTACTAATATGTAGAGCACCTGGTAAGTGCGGTTCATTTCAATTGAATCTCTGACTCGGTTTACTCGTAAGAATCGATTTGTGCGGTGGTTTTCGTTACTCTCCAACGTCGTCGTCGTTTCTTCCCTAACTGGAAACAAAAAAGGCAATTTAGAAGATTGGAACGCTCTTCTCAGCTGACTCTGATAACCCGCTGAGGGAATTCACAGCGCCAACTATTACATCCTTCAGTACTAACCATGTTGCCGGCTGTTCGGCCTATTTCACGACGCGCTTGGTTGGCTCTTAACCATTATTCAAGGTACGATATATTCATCAAATATCGATCTGTCAATCTAGATTATTGATTGGATTTTTAAAGCCGAGGACAGTAAGAACCAGTGTATCTCATTGGTTCTTATGGCTAACCAGCGGAACGGCCCTCTCAAAGTCAGCACCTGCACGGTCTCAGGATATCTGTCGACCGCGAACCCTCCCTCCTCCTTTCCTCTTCCTCCTTCCTTCTTTTCCTTCCCTCTTCCATACTTTCCTCCCCTCAAAGACTCGGCCAGAAGAAGCGATGGGCGAACACCTCTCTGGACCCTCGCGCAAAAAGAATGAGAGAGCATCGTTGCCCCCAGGCCTCGATCTGGCCGGCAGAGTTGATTGTTGATTGACACTTTCACAAAAAGGCCCGTCCCGATTATCCTTCTCATTTGCCCGGTTCTCCACTTGTAGAGGGAGGCTGGGAGAGGCTGAGGAGGATCATTTCAGCAGGCATAATGCGTTTTGCTCGGTGCAGGACAATTGACAACCGCGATGTCCCTTCTGCCATCTTTTTTTTTTGTGCCTTCTTGCCTTCCTTCGTTATCCCTTCCTCTCTTTCCTTACTCTTTTCCTTTCAAGCACTTGGCCAGAAGATGCAACGAGAAAATGCCTCGCTCGGGAATATCCAGGTGACAATTGCCTTGTAACCGATGTTCGTAGAACCATTTTCTAATTACGGACCTTTATGCTTTGAAGGAGCCACTTCATGCCATGTCGCCTCGTCGCACCTCTCATCTGGACAATGGGTCATGTTCTATCTGGGCCAACTAAACCTTAGAAATAGTAATAATCTTCTCACCTAATACTCTCACTAAGACAGCATGACCTGCCTTTTCCGCATAGGGCCAAGTCTCCCTGAACTGATGCCCCTCCCACGACACACGAAGGCATTTGAGCCATTTTTCATCCCGTCTTGTTGGGCAAAGACATGGTTTCAATTGTCCAAAATGGCAATATCCCACCGCGCAGCCTTTCAAATGAATTAGCCTGTTTTGGCGCCTCTCCAAAACGTATGTGTGCAGGAACGTCTCCACCCGACGCTCTGTTTAATCAAATATATAAACCTCACTCTATGTGTATGTCAATCTATTTGTTGATTTCACATTTCAGTTCGGCAGCCAGTGGCAAAGTGCCAACTTTTTATCACAATGACCTTCGAGTTACACAACTGGAACCAGAGAAACGCAAGCCACTCCCGAAGAAGGTAGTTATAAAGATTGATAAGAATATTAGTAGTAATGAAATATTAGTAATGACGAAGAATAACCAAACCTGGAACGGACCTCAAATCTATACGGGTCCTGCGCAGATTGTGCCTGACTGATTTCGAAGGGGTTATCGCTTTCTTACCGAAATTGAATACTCAAGGTGCAGTCCACGCTGACCTTGTGGGCGGAGACAAGAAATCATTATGTCTTCCTCACTGGTGCGCTCTTGCTTCCTTGGGCGGTGTCGGGCCGCGCCAATTAGGAACGCAAAATGGTTTGCGCCTCCGCCCATCGTGGACTGAGTACATCAAGGGGCACAATCGTAAGCTTGATATTATAAGTTTCCCCACCGACTCCCACCAACTGAAGATTTTTATCAAAGAAAGCGATTTCCAAGATTTAACTTGCCATTACCCAGGAACAGCTTTGTTTCAGGAATTGGGTTTCGGCAACATCTTCTCCCAACATATGTTTGAGGTTGATTGGAGCTCAGAAGGCGGTTGGACCAAGCCAGTGATTCGTCCCATATGAGAACTTTTCACTTGATCCTGCAGCTAAGGTGAAATTGTTTTATTACTATGGAAGACAGGCATCAGAGGCCCCTTTGGTTTACAAACTTCTTGCATAGCTAGAATTCGAAACGCCCAGCCAGGAGCTCCGCCTACACGGAGAGCGTGGAATGTGGCTTCAATATTCCGACAACCTAAATCTATATCCCAAGTTCAGAGGTTATCTATCAGTTTCAGGTTCTCCACTACGCTACTGAGTTGTTTGAGGGAATGAAGGCATATCGTGGTGACGACGACCGTATTCGACTATTCCGCCCACAGCTTAATATGGAGCGAATGCGCCGAACGGCCAGACGAGCTGCTCTACCGGATTTTGATGGCGACGAGCTACTGAAATGCATACTAGAATTGGTGAGATCGCAATTCTGCGTTCATACTTCGCAACTCAATCGACGAAGTCGTGCGATTTGGGAGTTTTGCGATCGTAGGCACTCTACCGCTAATCATTGAATAGTTGCAACTGCTATTCTAAGAACTGGACTTTCACGGCTTTTGCAGCAGTCCAGTGATAGTAAAGCTCGATTGATCGCAGTCGCACGACCTGAAAGTCGCTCGTCCATTCACGAAGTATGAACGCGGACTAGCGCAAGTGTAATTGGGTGACGGAAATTGCCAGGATGCCACGCGCAGGCGGTTATGTCTACGTCTATGTCTGCTCGCCCGTCAACCGAAGAGGGATCACTCAAGAAGTTCTTGGGCCAGTCTTCGCGGAAGTTTACAGGTCACAAGTGGATCTGGAGTATTCGACAGGGTTGACGAAAAAGAACCAGCGAAAACTGCTAAACATGGTACGGCATCACTGTGAGAAACAACTGGGCGGGGGGGGCGTAACTTGATCACTGAACCAGGGGGGGGCGTGGTGTGTGTGTGTGTTTCGAGAGCAAATTTGCCGCCGTTGGCAAAAAATTATCCCCGGCAACTTCGAAACAAGTGTTAGGAAGCCTGGGAACACGCGGGGGATGCAGGAAAGGGGTAGGTAGGGTGCCGAGAGGAAGGGAAGGGGAGAGGCAGGGCGAGGTTCGTAGCAGAGCTTCCATCTCAGAGGGCTGGTCGTACCTGACCACTGCCAGTTTCACGACAATCCACATGCTGTACCGCGAGGTCTGAGGCGCTCCCTACCAAGCCGAACAGACACTGGAAAAGGTGGCATGTTGCCATGCGTAGATCTGTTGAAGTTCCCGGGGTCTAAAACTTTGGCTTCCACTAACTTAACTCATGAATCACTGCCATTTCAGGTTCGTGTTGATCAAGCGTGGGTACCGAAAGAAAAAGGAGCGGCGCTGTATGTACGCCCAACCTTGATTGGAACTGAGCCAGGTTTGGGCGTACTCCTCTCGAATAAGGCTAAACTGTTCGTGATCACAAGTCCAGTGGGGGCCTACTTCAAGCACGGTTTCAAAGTACGTCATCTGCAATGATTTCAGATTGTAAACAACTGTAAACAATAATAAACCGTCGATTTTCAGCCGATCAAATTACTTGCCGATGCGAAATTCGTCCGAGCAGCAAAAGGTGGGGTTGGTGCTTTCAAGATGGGCTCTAACTATGCTCCTACATTGGGTGTGGCTGCAGCAGAAGCAGAAACGAATGCAGCAAGCTGGTCATCACAAGGTCTATGGCTGTCAGAGAAGAACAGCTATGTGAGTGAGAAGCCAGGGAAAATCCCACCACTATTTCTGGATTGCACTTTGTGGCAAGCTTAGCGTTTCTCCTACAATCCATCTGTTTGATTGGAATGCAACTCTATGATCAGGGCTCTGGTGTGTGCAGTTTTGGGACAAGAGGCCAAGGCACGTCGTCCTTGGGATCTCCAGCGGGGAGGGATCCTTTGATCGTGTTTGCTTTTGAAAAATTGAAAAAAATGGTTAATCGCTTCGTTGGCTTTTCTCGGGTTTTCCTGTTTTATATTCACTCTATGTCCTCTCCCCCTCCCTTTTTTCCACTCGACGGCCGTTTTTTTTTTGCGGGGGACGAGGAGCTCTCGAGGAAAGAATAGGTAGAATGGAGGAAAGTTGAGAGAGTTCAGGAGAGGATGGGTAGTTAGGAACGGTGCAGGTGGGACAAGGGAGTAACCAAAGGAGGCTTGAGGGGGATCTCATCTTTGGACTCGCCTGGAAAGCAGGAGTTGCCTTAGCTGCAACAGTTTGGAAAGCGAGACCCACCAGAAAGGAGTAAGCAGCCCAGGGCACACCAGACTTTGGAAAATCGCCATAGCATGAAAGGAAGAGTCGTGATCGGTCGCTGAAAGGGAGGGGCCCCCTCGCCTACGGAAACTTATTTTCGTTGCTGATTCTCCTAGTTTCACGCGCGCTGTTCAGATATAATTATGCCGTGCTCGGCGTGACTACTCATTTTCTGATCAGTTGTACTGAGGTATTCATCACACCTTCCCACGCAACGGCAAAAATATCGTAAAAGCTGTGGCTGGAAACACAAGAGGGATGTAAGCAGGGGGTAGTGCGCACCGGCAGCGAGAAAGGGGAATTTTAAAGGCAGTTGGCACGATGATTGGGTGCTCGGCCTAAAATGCTAGTAGGGCGCTATATAGTGGGGAAATGGCGAAAGAACGGAGTGAAACGGTCAAAATCCTGCGAAAAAGAGCCTTCGTTCTCAATGTGTTAGTAATCAATTTTGGACGAGTTTCTCGTAGGCATCTTGCCAATAACCGCTACCGAAGATACGGATGCATGTGTGTACTCATAATCTATGCCACGCGCTCGGCTTCCGCTTCATACCAATGCCTTCGCTTCATAATTTGCTTAGCAAATGAATCAATTAGAGCGTCTGGAACAGTCGTCCATTTGTGGGCGGGCGGGCAAGGGGGCGTTTGGGACGTAAAGTTGTGGCTTGATAGCCTTATATTATACGCCTTATAAGGTTTCTCCCACTGGAAGAAGGCATTGATGGAACGCCTCGCTCAGGTCGCGGAATTCCCGTCCCTGCACAGGCGTGTTAGCCTTGCCTCGTCCTGGAGGATAATCGTGCCACGCCTGGTCCTTTAAGGGTATCGTATTCGGGAAAATTCTTCCCAACGCCAGGGAATGCTCTAAAGGGACCTAGCACTGAACTTGCGAGCAGGCTTCATCGTAGTCGCTGTCAGGACCTAATCGATTTAACTTGGTACTGCACTGGCGTCGAGTCAACTAGCCACAAAATACTAGCCAGTGCGCACTGCACAAGGTAGATGTGATGTCCACAGTGTTGGAGGTAATAGTGGAGGTCAACGGGCCACTACGGTGATTCTTTAACAACTTCTCGAGAAAATCCTGCACCATAAGAGGGTCACGAGGGAATATTGCTAACCCCTAAAGCCTTGCCATCACCCAGTTACGCTCCATTACCCATACCACTTGGTGAGGATGGATGGAGAACAGAGGATGGCTGGACAAAGTGCAAATGTATACATAGCAAGAGACTTTCGCGAGATTCTCATTTTCAGGTGACAGAAGCTGGTGCCATGAATGTATTCCTGCACTGGAAGAACGAACAAGGCGAAGACGAACTGATCACACCTTCACTAGAGAGTGGTGAGGAAATATCATCTCATGTTAGAGCGTTGAAGCGCTCGGACGCTGAAAAGAATGTAAAGAAAATTAGGTGGAAAACGAAAAAAAATTGAAGGTCAATGCATCAAAAACCTTGAAACATTACCAGTGCTTAGCTATAGTTCAGTTAAGCTGAAATTTGCAGCGGAGATTCCAACATTTGAATCGTCATAATGCATTCGCATAGGCCTCATCTTGCCCGGAGTCACACGCCACTCCATATTGGAATTGGCACGAGAAATGGGTAAAGTCAAGGTGACCGAGCGTGACTTCACAATGGAGGAATTCCGGAAAGCAGCCAAGGAAAACAGGGTACGATCTTCTTCGTAATATGCTCCAAATGTTCCTAAGGCACGCCAAAGTGGATCCCTCGCGATAATCACTATTTTTGTCTATTACCAGTCATGAATGCATAATCAATCAAGGGCACGTCGAACGGAGAAGAGGGGGGGGGGGGTGCAGGGGTGGATCGTATCAGGTCGCTGACGGAAGGGGGTAGTTATTGTCATTGTGAAAAATGTTTTCGGTTGTTGACTTTTTTCGGTTTTTCACGTTCCACCGTTTCACATGCGCTACGTAAACCTTCCCCGCTGGCTCGATAGCAGTTTGAAAAAAAACTCCAGAGAAATACTAGGAAGCTGGGAGATTTTTTCAGGGAGATGGTAGGTAGGATGGGTTAGTGTGGAGAAGGGGAATCGTACTAGACGTACCAGAGGAGGAAATTCCAAACGAGGGGGGGGGTCATATTTCACAAAAACTTTCCCTCAATGAAAGCACACGCCTTGGTATCAACTGCTGCGAGTAATAGAAAGATTTCAGATCTATGAATTCTTCGGATCTGGCACTGCTGTAGTCGTATCTCCAGTTGACAAGATTTTGTACAAGATCGATGGTCGTGCAG